TTCCTTGTTGCATCTCTGCATTCCCTGACTACGTTCCTGTATTTCTCCCAGGGGGCCTGTCCTTTTTTCCACATTCTGTATACCGCTGCCTTCTGCTTGAGCATTGCCACAAGCTCCCTGCTCATCCACGCAGGTCTCCTACCCCCGCTGCCTGCCTTCCTACACACAGGGATGCACTGTTGCTGGGCGTTTCCATCGGTTCCGGAAAGCATCAAGAAAGCTCAAAAGACAACAAATCTGTATTTTTAGCCTACAATTGGGCAGCTCTTCATTTGTTATGCTTTGGTTTCCAGTTAGTATTTTACAATACCAACATCTATGAAAAAACACTTCTAGTGGCTGATATTGAACAGCTTGCTTGTTCTTAGTAAGAGTGAAAAAAAACTCTCAGTAACACCCTCTCACACTACACAAACCTCTTAATTAAAACATTAAGGTCATAAATAAGGGAAAATTTCATTCTTTCCACAGAATTAGATAAACTTAACTAAGCTTTATCACAAAACCTCAAGGTCAGGCTGCCCTCTTGCGGCCTGCTTAAGAACATATTACTAACTTAAGATTCACAAATTCATCATCCTTGATTAGATGCTAATAAGCTTGTTTTCTCCCCTGTGACAGTCAAGACTAAAGCACACTATATTTAATTTCACAGCTTTTGTCCAAGAGCGGTACTGAAAGGACAGAGAGAAAACACATAAAGACTGATTAAAAACAGTGCTATAAATGCTGCCAATCCCTACTATAACAGTTTAAAAAAAAAAAAAAAAAAGGTTAGAGAGTAATTGTTCTTCAGAGTGAAGGAAATAATTTGCTACTTTGTCCAACTCACTATTAAAGTCTGAATATCTTTGAACATAAATTAGGCAAAAAAAGTTACTAACCAAAAGTACCGTAGAATCCTCTAGGTCCACAAGTGCCAACACCATACTTCTTCAGGGATGCCTGGGCTGCATTCTTTAACAGATAAAAACATTACTTGAAACATTTATTCCTAAAATAGATCACCAGTTCTTCTACACAACTCACACAACTTCATGGCACTGTACATTTACCAATTCTTGCATTGCAACATAATCAGTTCCACAGGAAGAACAACAGTATAATGAATTCTGTGAATTTATTCCACACCACAGCTATTTTGGACTAGTGTTTAAACATCATTCATTGTATTTTAAAGGAAACTTATAGTAGGCACTAATCTAACATGATAACAACTCCAAACAAATGCATCAGAAAAGCTTTCTGCTGTTTGTATTTTTTTTTCTCTCAAACTTTATAAACTTCCTTGCTATTTAGAAGTGGCACCATGTTCCTTGACAAAGTTTGTCTTTTCTGAAGCTATTCCTAATTTTACATTAACATACAGATTCAAAGAAAAATCATAACAAAAACATAAAACATAAATAAAACAGGGAGCACATACCTTAACCTTTTCATTATCCAGAAGTCCAAGGAAATTAAATGATGCAAAGTTTATACATTCCTTGCCATTAACAGTGATTTTATGAATGGGAGGACTAAAAAGATTAGAGACATCTGTTATTATGAATGAAAACTTATTGTTTTCATAAACAGTCAAACAGTGGCTGAGCCTTTTTTTTTTTTTTTGCCCCTCCAACAGCAAAAGGTAAAAGTGCTTTCAATACGCTCTTTTCCCACTTCTCTCCCTTTTAATTGCCAATTAATAGTAAGGTTCAGTGACAAGGCATGAAATCAAGCAAAAGTCAAATTCCTGTAGTTTCTTAAAAAAATCCTTAAATTTCTTCCTGAGATATTTGTTTCTGTTTTATTGAAAACTTATTTCATACAAAGTTGACTAATGTTCACCAACAACTTGTGATGGACTAAGCTGAAGCCCCATCAAAACATGGCCATAATTTGCTAATACATTTTTACCCAATTTTCTAAAGGATCGTTACTTTTTTCAAGCACAAACCACTCACGGAAAAAATGTAGTTCAGTAAAAATTGTACCCCAAAATATGTATGCTAACAATACCATATAGCACGCTTTTCAACCTCAGAAACAAGATGAGCAATCAGTCTTTGCAAGAGGAAAAAAAATTCTTAATAGTTTCCCTCGTCTCTCTTCCCCCGTCTTTCCC